TATTCTTTTCGAGAGGAAAATTACAAATGCGTACCTCTTACAGGTAAAGCTGTGGCTCACCCTTAACGAACCCATGAGCCAAGCTCACGAAGGATACTGCGGACTTGCAGTAGAACATGCACCTGGAGGTTTCCAAGTAAGCCGTCTAATTTACATTAATCCGAGAAGACCAACTTCATTTTTATTTGCTCTTATGAGTATATGAAATACTTAGTTGTTTTTGGTTTCCGTTTCTCCTTCAGTGTAAAAATGATATAAGTCTTATTGGTGGGATATGATGATTGGAGATGAACAGCAGTTAGCTCTCGTCATCAAAATACCTTATCGTTCCAGAACAAATCACTAATAACTTTAGGATTATGATTCTGTTCATCAAAGCTCCCAAACGGCTTACGAAGAAATTCATTTATTACTTCAAGATTCGTTAATTTGGCAGACGACAATACTGATCATCTACAATGGTGGATACGCATGGTACAAAATGAATAATCAGCCTTGGATCAACTGTCAAAATCCTTAGAGTTTTAAGTCCTTCGGAAAGCTTCGCCTTAATCTTCTTTCTTTCTCCGTCTTAAGATTGTAAGTGAGAAGCAATGGCGAAGGTTTCCAAAGAAATGCGGAAAAAAGGTGGTTCCACTGTTATTAGCAAACAAACAGTGCATATATTTTTAAGGACATTCTTTGCTATCATTTCAGGAACATTGTTCGTGGACTCAGTACCTAGCAGGGCATCACATGCTTCTTGCGCATGCGCATGCTTATCGCGCCTACCATGGTCTGTTCCCAAACAGCTCAGGTACTTTTCAACGATGCATTCGCAGAAGCGTATAACGTTACTTATTTGCATATGAAGCGTAAACACGATGCCAGATCGTGGGCTTCATTGACGTTCTTTTCAAAAGTCCTTGGATCCAGTCACAAAAGAAAATGTGATATCACACAAAAAACCGACGCGAAGTGACGCTTCGTCAAAATTTCCTTAGATAGATGTTTTTTTAAAGGAAAAGCAGCGACTCAGGTCCTCATCAGAGGAATCATCAAGTATGTCACGTTACAGTAACATCTAAGTTATACGATAGGCATACGGTAAGAGTTCACGCAATCCAAACCCTGCTTAGAAGGGTTATCTGGTGCGCTGATTATGAGAAAAATGTCCATTTTAGGCACACATTAAGAGGTCATCGCGCTACCGTCTGAAACTTCGCTTAGAGAGATTATCTCATATGCTTATCATAGAAAAGCAATCCATTTGTCACTCACGCCTTATCGCAAAGATCACAGGTTCGATAGTCCAGAGAGAAGCCAACAAAAGTGATGGTGATCTTATCTCAAGCGCCTTGCAAAAAGTGATGGTGGTAGATATACTGTCGAAACTAGGAGGAGATAAGTTTTTTCGGTTTCATCAATTAGTTGCAAAATATAAAAAATGATGTAGGAGAGTGCTATAACACCTTCTTCAAACATTCTTCATTCATTTTCTTTGTTTCCCTTCCTTTTCGTGCATATACCTCCACACAAGGAACTAGAGTCGTCTTTTCTACGTGAAAGTGAACTTATGCACAACATTAACAGGTGGTTTACGGAGGCCCGGTTTATGGGGGTCCTAAGTTTTAGAAGGGTCATTTCTTATCTTCGCGCATTAGTTACATATATTTTTCTCTTTGGGACCAATCAAGAGAGGAAAAAGGGGAAACAAAGAGAAACAGAGATTTACGGGATGAGAAGAGTGGATGCGTGAAAGACATGATAGTGATCCCAAACGTTGGAAATGAGCGCTGAAAATGAGATTAAAAGTATTTCTTTTATGATTTTGATGGCTTTTATATTAAAAACGACTTTAGAAGAAAGGTCATCTTTACTGTTCCCTTTA